CCACAGAGTCCAGACCTTAACCCCATTGAGAATCTTTGGGATGTGCTGGAGAAGGCTTTGCGCAGCGGTCAGACTCTACCATCATCAATGCAAGATCTTGGTGAAAAATTAATGCAACACTGGATGGAAATAAATCTTGTGACATTGCAGAAGCTTATCGAAACAATGCCACAGCGAATGCGTGCCGTAATCAAAGCTAAAGGCGGTCCAACGAAATATTAGAGTGTATGACCTTTTTTTTTTGGTGGTGACTTTTTTTTTGGCCAGGCAGTGTAATAGAAAAAAAGTGGTTGTAAAAATTATTCTGTGAGGTCCCCATAAGCATTTCTCTCAAATACTTTTTGCACAGCACCACCCTTGTGGGCTTTAACTTTTTAGGAAGCCACCTCACACATGCAGGCTGGTTCATTCTCCAACACAGTAAAGAGATATTTGTGCTGTCTTGACACTTCTTCACTTCTTCATACTGCATATCATTGGACCAGCATCTCCCATAATTTGGACATTTCAGTCCTTGAGTGGCTCATAACATTTGATGAGAAGAATGTCAAAAGTTTGATGGCAGGAAGTCTTAGTGGCTTAGTATGTGGAGAAAAAGACAAAGTCAGAACAAGAGAAAAGGTGTCTGCCATTAAAGGGATAGTTCACATTTTTGAAGTGGGGTTGTATGGGGTTCTTATCTATAGACAGTATGTGTCAGTGTCAGTGTAGAATAGTCACTATCAGTTAAAGTGTATGCAGACGTCAGACAGTGATTTCCAACGAGAAAATTAAGCCTTTATATCGTTCTCTTCAAAGCCAAACTCCATTGAGAAAAACAGTGGTTTACCATTGTTGTACACAGGAGCTGCATCACATCAGTTATTTTTTTGTGTTATTGTGTTACTTTGAAGTTTAAAAGGGTTACTTCACATTCACCAAAGTCACGCAATAACAAAAAATAACCAACTGATCAAAGCAGCGGTTGACCAGAAGCCTCCATGTTCAGCAAGCTAAAATTACTGCTTTTCTCAATGACGTCTGGTGGCTTTGACGAGACCATACAAGGGGGAACTGAAGCCATTAATGACTTCCTCCTTCAAAACAGGCTGCCTGACGAGGAGGTAAGGTGGTGATAACACTCTTAATATAGCACACACATAAACTGATTTTTTTTAGGCGACTAAAATGTTGCCAACCCCCCACCACAGCGGTAGATTGTTTCACTTCCGTGTTGGCACTCCTGCCTGTTCCTCCAAAATTAGGGCGTGCTAACTGACATCTACTGTGCGAATACACTGGCTACTGTATGGATAAGTAACCCAATTCAAAAATCCAATCTGTCCCTTTGAAGTAAATACAAACTATGTTCAATTAAAGATGTTGCAGGAAGTCTTCCTCCCTCACTGACTGCAGTGCTGCAACCAAGTCTGGATTAACCCATTAGGGCTCTCGGGGCAATAATAATCTTTCTTGGTGGGAGAATATCATGTGTTTTGTTGCTTTGCTTGATTTAGCTTTCCTACCATCCAATGGGTTTGCATTTTTAACGTTCTTCCCATAACACTTTTTATGATCCACTTGCTAAAGTACGGGAGACAGCGATCAAGGACTCCAAGGACATCCATTTGTTCTTATACACACTTTCAATATATGCATGCAAAATGTGGAAAAGCCAAAAGTTAAAAAAAAAAAAAACAGTGGTGATCAAGTTTGTACGTCAAAATAAGCAAAATGGAACCAAACAAAAGTGCAATATTCATCTCGTTGTGCATTTTTTTACATGTGCACTACATTTGGATGGAAACCTGGCACATATTTTAGGAGTAGTTTTGCTGACTGTAGATACTTCATACAGTTAAGATATCGGAGGTTTTCCATGGTGTAACTTCACAGTGCAGCATGACATGAAATTTTTTCACAAGGGAAATTAAATTCCTGGGTTTTGAGCAGAGTGTTGCATTCACTTGTCAAGACTGATTCATTCTGCAGCACTCAACTTAGGGTGTTGTGTTCATTCATGTGGAATCGCACCATAGAAAACCACAGCACGTTGATTGTCTGTCACCCCACTGCCCTTGCTGTCTTAAAATATACAAAAAAGCACACAGAAATATGCAAGAGTGAAATCTGAGGACTTAAGCTATTACAATAATAAAACAACTGTGTGCGTAATAGTGACATTAAAAAAAAAACCTGTGAGAGAAACACAAAAACAAGATGTCTTGTTCAGAGAGGCAGAGTGTGGACTGGATGAAAGCTTTTAAAGACATGAGTGATATCACAGGTTGGATCTGAGGTAAAAACAAACCCCCTCATAGAGTATGTTTCAGTTAGGTGCTAAATGACCTACAATGTAAATGTAGATTCACAGTACCTGAAACAGAGAGAAGGAAGACGACAAATCCACCAGCCGCTGTTGTTAAACCCATAGCTGCTCCTCTCGTCTCTATATCTGGCTTCAGAGACGATAAAACATCATCAGGTGAATACTGTACACAAGAAGTAAACCAGGAGGGAGATGTGTTTGTCTTGATGGATAACTCTCTTCTGTCAACACCCTGATCTCTGGCTTCTGCCTACTGACCACAAACAGTCCGCCCATGTTCCTCTTTACAGTATATTATTAACATGGATGATGTCAGGTTAGGTGAAAGGACACAGCTAATTTGTTATTATGCAAACTATGTATGAATAATATTAAAAAGAGCTTGGGAGAAAAACCTATGGGACAAAAGCCGGTGACTAAACTAGGTCATAACAATACAACCTGCAGCACAAACACTCTGCAGTTTAAAATTAGGTGCTGCTGCTGTGAGAGGAGTTACTTATTTGTGTAGTCTTTACTGTTGCATCACTGTAAGGCACTTTGAATTGTTTCTGTACGGGACTGTGTGATTAAAATAAACTTACCGATTGTGGTCAGTCGCTCGCACACTCAGGGAAGTTGCATTCTGCAGTAACAGTGACATCATGGTGGAGAGGAGGTTGCTTGGCATGGGCTTCTTTTTCGATATTTGTTCATAAGTGTCAAAAGTGGGTTTTTCCTTATCTGAATCGAGGGTCTCAGGACAGAGGCTGCTGAATGCTGTGCACACTATAAAGCCCTTTGAGGCATATTAGGTATCTAAATACATTTGACTTGAACTTGTCATGTTTCTAGACAGAGAGGAAACTGTAATCAATGTAGCTTTTTATTCAGTTCCTCTGTTGACTGATTATATTAAACAGACATGTTGTGGATATCACTTTGTTCGGAAACTCAAGCTTTACAAAATCCGTCTGTGACACCACACACCAGGGTCAGCATTTACATAGAGGGTTTGCCATATACTTTATGATAACTTTGTTAAAGCTGGGGTAGGTAGTTTTATTTCGTAGTAATTGAGTAAGAGAAAAACTAGACTTCTGCACCTCGTCTTGGCTCTGTTTCAGACATCAGAACACCTAGCCTGTGACAGGAGGCTTTGGCAAATCACAGGTCACTTCAGAGAGAGGGCGTTACTATCGGCTGTTCTACATATGCACATGCATAACTAAAGACTGATGACTTTCTCCCTGATTTTGTGTTTAGATGGGCGGATACAATTTCAGAGTTTAAAAAAACTCCCTATGTTGCAGAACCAATAGTAAATCCGCAGGGCGGTCCTATAGTGGCTCGCTGAACTCTTGTGCTTGTAAACGTAGTCCGACTAGAAACACGTGTAGTGGTACAAAATGGCTCAAGTCGCTGTAAGTCCTTCATTTCCACAATCTTGCGTACTGAGCACACGTTTGACAAAACAGAGTTTAATCTCTCGGCATCCATTTTCAAGCTCTCTGTGTGTTTGTTTCCTTGCGGACGAGAAAAGGGGTAACGCACATTTCCGGGAGGGCGTGTCCTTTTCAAAAATGCAAGAGGCGTTGCTTTGTTGCTGGCCATTTTCGCCGGTGTGTTAAACACAATTTAGAAAGGAGTGTCCCCAGACTATCAGAAGGCGGAGATCTCTGATTGTCTGGTGGCGAGACTACAACTGCCTACACTGCAAAACAACCCATAAAAGGAAGACAGATAGACGATAAGACGACTTATCGAAAAGAGAGTTTGACAATAAACAAAACAAAATGTGTCAACCATAGACTGTATCAACCAAAGACTGTATAAAAATATGGACATAGTCACCGTTACGTAGTCCTTTGGTTTCTGAGGAGCGGGTTTGAAGCTCAAAGTAGGCGGCTCTGGCCGTCGCCATCTTGGCAGTGTCTGACTCCGCCCAACTCCCGGCTAATCAAAAATGGGCAAAGAGACGGGCCAAATGAAGCCTGGCTGCTTAAACGCATCCACCTCACTTGAAGCTGCTAAGTTAGCTAAGGCTAACAAGCTACGCTACTTTGACTAGCCCTGTGATGTTGGCTGCTCCCGCTTGGTGCCAGCTCCCTCACGAAACAAAATATCCAAAAGGCACAAACACGGCTGAGAGGTCAGGTTCAATGACTTGCGAAGTAGCTGAGATGACGCCTAGCAGACAGACAGACAGCAGCTAGCTAGCCACCCGTGATGGCGCCACCTGTCACTCAAAGTGACCACTCCCTTAATTATGCGCAACTTTTAGCCTTAATAAAATTTAAATGGATGAGTTATAAAAAAAAATTCACCCCCTGTACAGTTGTCATGAAAGGGTAAATTAACTATAGAGACCAAAACCATTTTTTGAACCAGGCTGTAAACATGTTTATTTCTGCTGTAAAATTGAGCATTTTAACATGGGGGTCTATGGGGACTGACTTGCTTTTGGAGCCAGCCTCAAGTGGCCATTCAGCAAACTGCAGTTTTTAGCACTTCCGCAGTGGCTTCACTCATCATCCCTGGAGGTTGCTGCTTGGTGTCAATGTGATGGCAAAGTGTTTCAGAGATGGAAAGAAAATGTTGCTAATAGTTTAGCCTCCTGCTAACCAGAGCCAAAGGCTCATGGCTGTGGCCTCAAGTTTGTGTAGCTACTGTTAGGGAGAGCCTTGAACCACAGTGTGTCCTCCACCTCACTCCCCAGCGCTACAGACCACCTCGCTGGGAGGACAGCAGGCAGCAGCTCCCGAGACTAGCACCCAGTCAGTGGCCATAGCAAGACCAATCCTATGCAAACTTTTTTGCTGCCATTACACTTAAAAACACAGACTGGTTTTTTTGCTCATCAGCTTTGAGGAACAGTGAAATGATGTGGTTTTGTACAGTGAACTACTGAAAGACAATATGAGCACAACCAGTGCACTGTGGTGACCTACTGAACTTTAGACTGGAGTTCACCCCTCCTCTGATTTCCATAGTTAAATAATGACAGATAAATCCTTGTTGTAAAAAGAAGGTGCAGTCATGTGATGCAACTCGTCATGTTTAATAATTAAAAACTTTGCATTTTCCCAGAGCGGGGCCTTACATCCTGATTCATGCTGAGTGTTTTATGCCTGATGCAAATTTGTCGGCTCACAATAGGTTGTCCAATCATGCACTTTTTGGATAGCAAAACTGTAACCTAAAGAGTTCTTTATTACTCAGGCCAACTTCTCATTTTCATCAGTCCAAAATAATTGAGTTTTGTTTTGTATTCTTACAAAAGGTGCACGCAGGTTAAGTCCAGTTCTATCACCTCATGCTGTGTGTGTGTGTGTGTGTGTGTGTGTGTGCGTGTTAATATGTAAAACTGTAAGGTAAGGCCACTGTAAGGTCATGTCGTTATTGTCTGTATTGTGTTTATTGTGGTCTTTTGTTATGGAAACTCCAAATAAAAACAGTTCAAATAAACATAAGAGACACACATTAATATTTTGGGCGTGTTTGTTTTAAGTCAGGCAGGCCATTAATAATAATAATAATAATAATAATAATAAAAAATAAATAAAAAAAAACACTTATTCTGCATCATGTTCATCTCTGTTTATTTGCATGTCTACTTCCTTCTTTCTCTCTACCATGTCCTATTGAAAGGGAAAATAAAAATGAGGTCATGACTTTCATGCTGTTGTTTTGCATTAAGCAAATGTTACACTGAGCAAAAGTGTATACTTAGTTAAACACTGTTTGAATTCACAGTACTGAGGAACAGTGGAAAAAGTGCACATTCTTTCTGTAGTTAATCTCTGTGCACAGGGACAACAAACAGTCTGAAGGTGCAGTGGAGGAACAGGAAAGTACTGGACCTGTGCCCCTAATTCACCTTGCTGATTTGATAAGGGACAGATCATGAATTGTTAGAAAGTTTCTGCTTGTATTTAGTCACCTCTTTGTTGACGCTGTGGTCAGGCTGTGAATTTGTGTAAGAGGAAACTGCAGAGACATGTACAACGGGGAGGTGTGTGTATAGTGATTATGCAGATAATGAAAAGGCAAATTACTGTTGCTGACAGACTAAATAATAGTCTGTCAGCGTGTAATAATAAAAGATAAAAGAAAAGTCAGGTTAAAAACTAGCAGACATTCATGTCTAAATACACTGCCTGGCCAAAAAAAAAGTCGCCACCTGGATTTAACTAAGCAAATAGGTACGAGCCTCCTGTTGGATAATTACTGCATGGGCGATTATCTTTCAGCTGGCAACAAGTTATTTAATCCCAACTGGTGCAATGAGTTGCTTCTCATTTCCTAAACAACCATGTCGAAAGACACATCCCGTGGTCGTGGAAAAGATGTTAGTCTGTTTGAGAAGGGTCAAATCATTGGCATGCATCAAGCAGAGAAAACATCTAAGGAGATTGCAGAAACTACTAAAATTGGGTTAAGAACTGTCCAACGCATTATTAAAAACTGGAAGGNTGAGTTTTGTTTTGTATTCTTACAAAAGGTGCACGCAGGTTAAGTCCAGTTCTATCACCTCATGCTGTGTGTGTGTGTGTGTGTGTGTGTGTGTGTGTGTTTTAAGAGGATAACTACCAAACTGACTCAAAACTTTAGAAATCAGAGAATAAAAAACATTCCAACCTGTTACTTTTTTGCTGTTATTGTTGTTTTAAGAAAAAGCAAACAGGATACAGACAAAAACGACAGAGCAGAGGATAAATGCAAGATGTTAAGGAAATAAAGAAGTATAGAATAAAACAGGTGGGCATATCATGTCAAAGGGGAACTAATGTTTTTTTCAACCTGGGCCCTATTTTCCAATCTGCTTTTGTCTAAATGAGTGATAGGATGTTCAATATGTTACATTTCTCCAGTACGAAGCTAGGGCTGACCTGCCTGCAGCCCGTGAGCGTGCTATATTAAATAACAGGGCACTCAGACAGCGTCAAACAATGTCAACATACGTCCACTAAAAGTGCATTTTTTTTCACTCTGATGTTGTGACTTGTCACAACAAACATGTCCGAATTTTTACCCGATTTTGACCAACTGGATCTGGATAGACTGTATTTATTTGAACACGGAGTACATGGACGTACACGGACGCAGAGCTCACTGAAACTGAAGAGCGGACGAGGAGAGAGAGGGAGCAGCAACAGGCAGAGGAACATGTCTGAATCCAGCTAAAGGTAAACACAGACATTCATTTCTCCTTTCCGTTATGTTGTCAGATAATTACACTAACAATCCGAGCCTATTTGTGTGAAAAAAATTCACTTTTAGTGGACGTATGTTGACGTTGTTTGACACTGTCTGAGTGCCCTATTATTTAATATAGCACGCTCACGGGCTGCAGGCAGGTCAGCCCTAGCTTCGTACTGGAGAAATGTAACATACTGAACATCCTATCACTCATTTAGACAAAAGCAGATCAGAAAATAGGGCCCAGGTTGAAAAAAAACATTAGTTCCCCTTTAAATAAAGAAAACAGCAATATAGATATCTTGGTAATGTTGCAGCAGGATAAATATTTCAAAAAGGTGTGTAAAAAAACTGGCAAGAGATTGGAGAACAATAAAACAAGTTCAGATAATCACACTGATAAAACAAAGTTTAAAAAAAGTATGCATGGATGGAAATGATTTGCTGTAATATGTCTAGTGACAGCAAGAGGGCACTACAACTAGATTTACAAATGTCATCCTCCAAATTCTCCAAAAATGTAAGAAGTTATATTTTGCAATTTCACCAACAAATTAAAAGCATATGACCTATTATTAGCTTACTGACACAATACTGCAGAGAAAAGCCTGAGCTCTGACGACCCATTAGAACAACTCAGCTTTAATCTGTGCTTTAATGCCTGCACTGAGAAGAAGCATGTTTTAAACTCAACCTGGTTTCCTTTCATAAAGATCTTTAAAAAAATATATGTCATGAATGCAGAGTGGACTAGAGATTTCTTTTTTTGTTGACTGTGCTGTACAACGCAGCTGAATCCTCCACAGCTTCCTGATCGGACCTGAGAGAAAAATAAAATTAAATTGAAGGGATTCTAAGAGATACTGTACAAACATACACAGACACAAAGAGCCCAGCAGTGATCACAAAAGGTCAAAACACAGTACAAGGCCAAAGTGACAAAATCATTATTGTTTTCAAGCCAAACAGATGATGTTGTTGTGTGAGAAGCTGCTCACCTTGAGGCCAGACTGGCATTGTCACATTTTACAACAGCGTACACGACGTTCTCTGCTTCTACGTATCGTCTGGGCTGAGCTGGGTTTTTGGAAAAGCGGACAGTGGCATAGTGAAGTTCGTTCGGCTGTTCTGCTAGTTGTAGCTGTGGACATTGAAAAAAATAAGATTATTCATTTTATGTATGTAGACAAAAGGCTCCTGTCACTTATCAAGACAGTAGTTAAGTTTTCACTCAAAGCCAGAGATTATTTTGTTTAGCGAATACTGCGTGTTAACACTGTCAAGGTGGGACGCATTTTCAGTGCAGTACACCAAACATTACCAGAATTTTTGGTGTTGCCCTTGACTCAGGAGACGCTCCTGACTGGGACATAACAGCCATGCTCGAGATGAGCTAGGCCTGCGCAGATTTGATCACTGGCAACCGCCACACAATGCATGCCGGTTAGTTTTGTGTCCGACTTCATCCAGACTTGCTCTGATGTATTACAAAAGTGGACGGCGATTGTTGACTCAACAATATGATGTTTTAGATTCACTTTTAATTTCTATTGAATTTCAGAGATTTAAATATTACACAATTTAAATATTATTACATAAAATATAGCCAACAGCTAGTGGGTTGTTATTAGCGATTGCCATTTATCAGAAACTTTGAGCTCCCTGGCAATTTCCCTCCAGCCAGCTGCCACCTTAGTAAGGTTTTTGTAGTGAAACAAGGAG